AATGACACCTTTTAATAATTCAGTGAGTTTGGAGATAAGGTTAAACAAATTCAGGAATATGTTAAAAAAAAGTGGATGAAGAATACACAGAAAAAGAAAATTAAGAAATACTATGGGATATGCAGGATTATAAAAATAATAATGTTTATAAATGGCGGGAAGATGTTACAAGTATTAATAGTGAATCTAGGAGCTCCTCACCAGGAACAGGAAATGAGAGGACGACAGGGAAATCACCTATGGTCAAAAATAAAAATAAATCCCCCTCAGGATAAAAGAAAAATCCCCCAAAAAATAAGGGGACAGAATGGGAACACCAAAATATAATGTGCCAGTATATAATAGGTTTGAGCCATTTAACAATTGGGGCAACCTAGCACCTCAGGAATATGGTTACCCTCCAATGAGGGAGGATTTTCAGAGGGGGGGGGGTATGGGGGACCCCCATGGAGAGGGGGGGAGGAGGAAGAGGGTCTTTTCAGATGAGGGGAAGAGGTGGACCTTTTTATCCACCGAGGAGGGGAGGAGGAGGGTGGAGACCTCCTATGAACCAACAAGACCCTACTGGCCAAAAGGAGGGGAGCATGCAGAGGGGGACAAGGAAAAAGAAAGAGGTCAACTTAAATCAAGGGATCTTCAATTTGAGTGATTCTGTTTTAAATGAAGAAGAGTTAAAAGTTTTAGCATTAGGATTGAAATACGCACCGGACAAAAAACTGAATAAACTGGAAACTTATATTGATATACATAAGTTTGTAAGGAAAATAATTTAAAGAAGTATTGGGCGAATAAAACTAATTTTGAGTATAATAGTGTAAAAGGAGATGATTATTTTCTGCATACACAGTTGAGGAATAAATCGGGTGTTTAATCCGAAAAATCTCTAACAATTGTTGTGTAGAAACGTTTAAAAAAATGGTGGAACATGATCTGGAGGATTTAGCCATTCCCTTTATGAGAAACAGAAACAAGATTTAGAAATTGGTAAAAAAAGGCTGGAGGAAAATAAAAATATGTTATAAGGCCAGCGATAAGGGTGGTGGCCTGGGTGGTACTAAACAAGGTGGATTACTATACAGAACTAAGTAGATTGGTAGATTGATGTTGAAACATATGAGTTGTTAAGGGGTAACCCTATCAATAAATAAAATATAAGGAGTCTGTTAGTAAAACATGTTAAAGAAGGGGTAGAAAAGGTTATACTTAATAAAAAAGAGATTAAATATCTGGTACCCTCTGCTCCAATAACACCTGTGATCTACCAATTACCAAAAATTCACAAAGATCTTAAAAAACCCCCCGGGAGACCCATTGTTAGTGGGATAGATTCATTGTTTTGTAGACTGGGTGAATATGTGGATAAATTTCTACAACCTCTAGTTCCAATGTTTCCAGCGTACCTGAGGGATAGTGGTTGTGATCTGATTAATCTGATTAAGGGAATAAGGAAAAGAGGGGAAATGTGTGATGGCGAGTGTGGATGTTAATTCCCCTGTACACTAACATAAGCATACGGATGCATTAGGATCTGTTAGATGGCCTTGGAGGCTAAGGCAGGCTTAAAACCACAAACAAACTGAATTTTTACTTAATAGTTTAAATTTTTTAGCTATGTCACATAACTACTTTTGGTACTCTGGGAAATATTTAGGCAAGCAAGAGGTGTGGCTCCATGGGGGTGGGCTAAGTATTGCACCATCGGTGGCTAACTTGTTCATGAGTAGGTGGGAAAATGCCGCTATTTTTAAGAAACAAACCGCACAGAGTTGCTGGTGTATAGAAGATTTATCGATGACATCTTTATAATCTGGAGGAGGTAAGCGAGAGACACTGGAGGAGTTTATCCAAGAAATGGGGATTAATTCTTATAACATATCATTTACTAAAAATATTAGTGAGGTGGCAGTTGATTTTTTGGATCTGACAATTTACAAGAAAAAATATGACAGGTTCTACACTAGACATATTTCAAGCAAGTAGATAGGAATGGATATATCCAAGTTTTAGTTGTCACCATAAAATTGGCTAAAATCCATCCCTAAGAGTCAGCTTATTAGGATCAAACGTAATTGTGATGATGAAGGTGTTGTTTTTTGGAACAGGCTGAGGTGTTATTGCAAAGGTTTAGGGAAAAGGATATAGAGAAGAAAATTTGGCTGCTTCATTAGAACAGGTTAAAAAGATTAGTAGAGATGAACTTCTTAAGAAAAAAGCAAGAAAAAACAAGTTGGGTGATGTGGCCTTTTATCACAGGATATTCTAAACATTACAAATTAGTTTGAAAACATAATTAAAAAATATTGGTCTATTTTGATGAGGGATGAAAACGCTTGGAAAGTGTTACCTAGTAAACCCTTGTTTATATATAGAAAACCGACTACTTTAAGGTCTAGACTTGTTAAAAATGTTCCAGATGTACCTAAAAAAATTGGTTACTTTCTTGATAGGGCTGGGGTTGTTTCAAATGTGGGAGGTGTTTGGTTTGTAGAAATGTGGGAGGGGTGGTGGTTTGTAGGTCTGAAAGGGGATAAAAAGAAGCAAATAAAGGTTTTTCAATCCTGTTATAATGGAGGATCCCATAAGATCAATAAATTCATATCATGTGATAGTACGCATGTGACCTATCTGCTGGAGTGTCCTTGCAAGCTCCAGTATATAGGGAGAACAACTAGGAAACTTGCCACCAGATTGGGAGAACATATTAGGAATATAAAGAAGGGATTTAAACATCATAGTTTATCATTCATTTTAGAAGATATCATAATAGGGATCCGGCATCGTTGAAATTTTGTGGGATAGATAGAAATAGAAGCCCCATGGAGGGGAGGTAATATGCTCATAAATGTGTCCCAAAATGAAACGAAGTGGATTTATCAAATGGGTACATTGCATCCTAATGGTTGAATGTAGATATTGATATAAACTGTTTTCTTGTCGAATTGGTAATATCCAGTTATAGGTCCGTAGTGCGTGTTCATGATTAGGTTTTTTTTTTTATTTTAATTAGGTTACTTTATTTCTTTAATTAATTTTTTATTATTTAATTTTTATTTATTTTTTATTTTTTAGTTTTTATTATTTTTTATTTTTATTATTTATTTTATTTTTTATTTTTTATTTATTATTTATTTTTTATTTTATTTTTGATTTATATTTATTTATTTTTATTTATTTTTATTTTTATTTTTTATTTTATTTTTATTTTTATTTTTATATTTATTTTTATTTTTATTTATTTTTTTATTTTTATTTTTTATTTTTATTTTTATTTGCATTTATTTTTATTGGTCTTCTCCCTTGTGTGTGGGGTTGAAGACTTAGGATTAAAAGTATATTATTATTTATATTTTTTATCTAAAGAATGTTTTTTAAGTAAAGTATGTTTTTGAAGTAATGTATTCTTTAAGTAATATTTTTCTTGTAATGGTTCTGATGTAAGGGGACCCCACATGGGTGTGCAGATGGATGGCGGTGATTGGACATGCTTGTATCCAGGTTTTTGTGCCAGAGGAATTAGTGGGAGGGACCTCCCAAAGCTTTATAAGCGGCTGGGAAGTGGTAATGAGCGTCTTGATAACGCCCTGTGGGTGGGGCGAAACGCGTTGAGCAACTTCCGTTTGCTGGTCCGTCGTCTGACGTCATTTTCCCGGTGATGGAGCGCACGCCGAGCGGTGCTTCCAAGGGGCCATCTTAGCCTAAGTAGAAGAGTCTGTAGCTGAGGTCTGCCATCCTGCGTGCACACTAAAAACTGTGAGTCCTTGTATAATCGGTGTACATGAAAAGTGGACCATTTCTGAAGAGAATCGCTGTTGTTTTGAATAAAAAGTGGCTATATCCCGCAAAAGAATGTGAGTGGTCTGGAGAGATTAATTTGAGGAGAAGTTACTGCGGTAATCACGCTATGTCTTTTCTTCTTCCTGATTTTCCTTTGGGGATTCGGTGAGAGGAGTAAGCAGAAGAGGTACCTAGACATAAGAGGAAAGAGCACTTGGAGGTCCCAGACAAAGTAAAGGGGGTCCAGGAGCCCTTAACAATCCTGAAAGGCGTGTGTGACTCACCATTGTTGTCAGTTCGCCCCTGATGTAGACATTCATGGCTTGAGAAAAACTACTGAAAACTACTTGATTTACCCACTTAAGGCTAGGTTCACACATATGCAGTTTGCGTTTGATCTGTTTCTGCAATGCGTTTTGCATTTTTGCTCTTGCGTTTTTGTTGCATTTTTGTTTTTTTTTCTTGTTGCTAGGCAGATTGAAAATGCAAAACGCATCAAAAATGCGGCAAAAACGCACTACATGCTTCTCTGCAGCGTTTCCATTGAAGTCTATAGAACCAAAAATGCAGCTTTTTGTGTTCAAAAAAGTCCCTGACCCTTTCCAAAAAATGTACCGGGTGAAAACACAGAGATGTAAACCTGTCCCACAGGAAATCATGTTAAATGGACTGTAGTCCTAGATTGTAAGCTCGAAAGAGCAGGGCCCTCAAACCCCTCGTGTATCACATTGTATTGTTTTCGTACTATCACATGTTCTGTCCCCCTTTGTAATGTACAGCGCTGAGCAAACTGTTGGCGCTTTATAAATACTGTATAATAATAATAGTGCGTTTCTGCAAAACGCTGCGGAAAACGCTTAGGTGCGAACCTAGGGTGAGCCTGGATTCACACTGATGCGGTGCAGATGTGAACTGCAGTGCATTCCTATGCAAATCACATGCTATTTCTGTGCGGTGCACTTTGAGCCATACATGTTGTATGGCTCAAATCGCACCGCATCCACGCCAAAAAAGTGCAGGACCCTTTTTTTGTCCGCACCAGAATCAGTGTTCACACCCATTTGATCTGATTCTGCATATCGCACTGCGTTTTGCAAACTGATTTCAGGGTGTTAACTTAAAATACACACCCGCAGTGGTTTCTATGAACGGGGTTCAATTATGATGCAGTGTGGAAATTGCACAGAAACCGGTGCGAATTCTGCCAGCATCAGTGTGAACCCGGCTGAAAGTGGTTCTGAAGTCTCAAGGTTTTTTTTACCTTCATGCATTCTATGCATGAAGGTAAAAAACCTTCTTTGTGCAGCATCCCCCCCAGCCCCCCCCCAATACTCACTTAAGCCCCCTCGAGATCCAGCGATGTGCACTGGAGTCTTGGCTATCCCGGGACTCCCTCTTCTCATTGGCTGAGACAGAAGCGGGAGTCATTGGCTCCCATTGCTGTCGATCACAGCCAGTAAGCCAATGAGAAGAAAGAGGGGGCGGGGCTGAGCCGTGGCTCCATGTGTGAATGGACACATGGAGCAGCGAGTGCCCCCATACCAAGCTGCTTGATGTGGGGGCACCTGATAGGAGGGAGGGGCCAGGAGAGCCTACGGGTGACCCAAGAAGAGGAGGATCCAGGCTTCTCTGTGCAAAACAACTGCACACAGCAGGTAAGTCTAGACATGTTTGTTATTTTTTCTTAAAAAAAAAATAAAGCTTTAGAATCACTTTAAGACCTAGCCTTTGCTGACACTTTTTGCTTACATGTAAAAATCATTATTTATTTGCTAGAAGATTACTTAGAACCCCAAACATCATATATTTTTTTCTTCTTTTCTTTTTCTTTATTCTTAGAGAATTAAATGGTGGATTTTGCAATTTTTAATGTCACTCTGTATTTTCATTCATTTTCATTATACATGTGTACCTCGGTTTGCGAATTTAATGCGTTCTCCGTAAATGTAATTATCGGCTTTTTTTTCTTCACTAGAGCTCAGAGAATCAGCTGTCACTTCCTCCCCAACTAAAAGAAAGAAAGTTTCCTTTTAGTTTATTTCCCGAGATAAAAGAAACAATGTTTCCTTTTAGTTTGTTTTCCAAGATAAAAGAAACAAAGTATCCTTTAGCTCCGGGGAAAGTGGCAGCTAATTCTGTGAGCTATAGTGAAGAAAAAAAAAAGCCAGCAATTGCATTTAAAAATCAGCACCGACGTACACTTCGTATTGCGTAAAAATTCATAAACCGAGGCATTATTTTCAATGGATGTTTATTCATAAACCAAAAACTAAGTTAACCGAGCCGTTCATAGATACAATACATTGGCTCCTGCTGCTGTCAATCACAGCCAGTCAGCCAATGAGGAGAGAGAGGGGGCGGGGATCACTCCCTCATTTTCAAGCCCACCTACACAAATCGTATATCAAAACGTTCAGCTATCGCTGCTGCCACTAAACGGCTAAGCCATAGTCCTGATAGTTTTCACAATATGACCATTTGTTTGCAGCTCACGCCGACCATTGACATTCATTGAAACTCTACTCTAGCCACCTCAAATTTGAAGGGCAATTTCTAAACTGCGACTGTGCCGTCATTTCTAATATTTCCGAGACATACTATACATCAAAATGTAGGTCTGGGTCTTGTGATTCTCACAATATAAAGCTCTTCGGTGTAGGATTTATACTTTTTAAACTACAACCGTTTGAAGATGGCAACCAAAAGCGAGAGTGTGAGCTGAAAAATAAAAGTTGAAATACATTTCTCACTCTATCAGGCTTGCCATGGGCACTTTTTAAATTTGATCAATCAATTGGTTAGTGTAATGTTCACTATCTTTACTCACTCCAAATACTCCACACAGTTACTCTGCCCACTCCATAAAGTTACTCTGAACAGTCCAACCTTTTCACAGTTACTCCGCCCACTACAACCACACAATAGTTACTCCGCCCCACTCCAACCACACAATAGTTACTCCAGCCACTCCCAACCACACAACCACACAATAGTTACTCCGCCCACTCCAACCACACAACAGTTACTCCCACACTCCAACCACACACACAGTTACTCCAGCCACTCCAACCACACAACAGTTACTCCACCACTCCAACCACACAACAGTTACTCCAACCCACTCCAACCACACAACAGTTACTCCGCCCACTCCAACCACACAACAGTTACTCCAGCCACTCCAACCACACAACAGTTACTCCCAGCCCACTCCAACCACACAACAGTTACTCCGCCCACTCCACCACAGTTACTCCGCCCACTCCACACACAGACTACTGTAGAGGCAAGAACACTTCACACACAATTTCCCCAGAAAAATTGTAGCTTTTCTAGTTTAGTATTGTCCTCCAAATTTAATATGGTTTCTGTGGCTTCATTCCACATGTCAGAATTTTGCCCAGTAAATACAAATTGAAGTCCTCATGCACACGGGACGTTTTCAGAAGGCTGGTAATGTGAACGGTGTAAAGTCACGTTAAAAATGTGTGTTTTTCAGCTTTTTTTTTGCATTTTTGCATTAGCATTTAGCGGAGTTTTGCCACATTTGCATTTTTAAAAAAAAAAAATATCACACAAGTTTGCGGCAGTTTACCGCGTTTTGCCACATTTTTCAGCATTTAGAGCATTTTTACAGCTAAAAATCTTCTCTAGAAATCCACTAGTCCTGGGTATTTTTTCCAGCCAAAACAAAACGTTGATTACAGTCTATGTGTGTATGGACACATAGGAGAACATGCCGGGGATGGACACATAGGAGAACACGCCGGGGATGGACACATAGGATAACACGCCGGGGATGGACACATAGGATAACACGCCGGGGATGGACACATAGGAGAACACACGCCGGGGATGGACACATAGGAGAACACGCCGGGGATGGACACATAGGAGAACACGCCGGGGATGGACACATAGGATAACACGCCGGGGATGGACACATAGGAGAACACGCCGGGGATGGACACATAGGAGAACACGCCGGGGATGGACACATAGGAGAACATGCCGGGGATGGACACATAGGAGAACACGCCGGGGATGGACACATAGGATAACACGCCGGGGATGGACACATAGGATAACACGCCGGGGATGGACACATAGGATAACACGCCGGGGATGGACACATAGGATAACACGCCGGGGATGGACACATAGGATAACATGCCGGGGATGGACACATAGGATAACACGCCGGGGGATGGACACATAGGATAACATGCCGGGGATGGACACATAGGATAACACGCCGGGGATGGACACATAGGATAACACGCCGGGGGACACATAGGATAACACGCCGGGGATGGACACATAGGATAACACGCCGGGGGGGGGTTTACTGGCTGTAGAAAAAAAAATGTCAAATGCCAAAAACAGCCGCTGTAAACACATCCCAGTGTGCAGGAGGAGGGCTAAAGCTGAACTCCAAGTACCAAAAACTCATTTAAATATATTCCTACCCATACAAGATGTAAATCTACTCTGAGCGCACCAAATGCCTTCGCACACCAAGATTCAAATACAAATTGCATGGCTCCTGTGGACAAAGGGGCTATTTACTAAAACTGGAGAGTGCAAAATCTGGTGCAGCTCTGCATAGTAACCAATCAGCTTCCAGGTTTTAGGGCTCATGTACCCTGCAGCTGATAAACTCACGTTTAGGAACTTTTCTGCATTTTTTTCAGCAGCCCCTGAACTCCCCCTCATGTTTTCCTATGTGTCCATGTACACATCGTCATTTACAGGCAGTTGAGTTTACAGTCGTTTTTTTTAATGCACCAAACTTGCGTTCAGGAGTAGATTTTATCAGCATTTCAAATGCCAAATGCTTGTAAACGTATGTAAACGCATTTAACCGCGTTTGCGTTTAGAAGCGTTTTTTTTTAACTGTTCCATATCCAGATGCTGTATGGAGCCTTTATCATCATCAGAAATGCATGCAAAGTGTTTTCCATGTATTCAAATGGACCCGGTGCACCAGCGCAGTCAGTCCCAGGTTTTGCGCGTGAAGGAAAAAAATGGTAGAATGTGCTGCATTATGCTCATGATGGGATCCATAGTGAAGACAACCAGAAAAGACCGGTCATCTCAACACATACTGCTCTCTCTGCTTCTGCTCTCTCTATTTCTTCTAAAAATGTCTGAAATAGTTAATTTTTTACTATTTTTCAGTGCATTCTGGGCATTTTGGAAGGTCTCCTGAAGTTATCTTAACCGCATGCTGCCCAACCACTGTACATATACGGCGGCAGGGCGGCACTCACAGGCAAAACCACGTTTTAAAATGTGTGTTTTTGTAAACAAATAGGGGGCGCGCGCGCGAGCGCGCGCGCGCTGCCGCCCTATTTGTCCTGTGGATCACCGCCGCAGATGTCAGTTGCCGGGTCACAGCCGCTCATTAGCGGCTATGTCCCGGCGATCGGCGGCGGTAAAACGGTGACAGAGAGCACAGCTGCAGTAGCTGTGCTGTCTGTCACCTCTCTGTCAGCTCGAGGATGAGCTGATCGAGAAAGAATAGTTTCTCTTTCTCGATCAGCCTTGTCCCGCCCAGTACACACCCCCCCCCCCGCCCCCTAGTAAAACACTCCCCTCACTCCTATAACCCTTCCTGCAAAATAAAGTTAACCCCTTCCTCCCCATTGCCATTAGTACAGTGTCAGTTTTTATTTTTTTTGCACTGATCACTGTATTAGTGTTTTTGGGGATGTCAGTGACCCCAAGTCAGTACCCCCCAATGTCAGAATGTCCGCCGCAGTCCCGCCATAAGTCGCTGGTCGCTGCCATAAGTCCCTGATCGCCGCCATTATTAGTATAAAAAAAAAACCTAAAAATTCCAGTATCTTTCCCGCCATTTGTAAACGCTATAACTTTCACGTAAACCAATTAATTTACACGTATTGTTTTTTTTTTTTTTAGCAAAGACATGTCACAGAATGCATTTTGGCAGAAATTTATGACTAAATTTGATTTTTGCATTTTTTTTTTTACTGGACATGTTTTATAGCAAAAAGTCCAAAATATTGTTTTTTTTTTTTTCCTCAAAATTGTCAGACTTTTTTTTTTTATAGCGCAAAAAAAATAAAAAAACCGCACAGGCGATCAAATACCACCGAAAGAAAAAGCTCAATTTGTGGGGAAAAAAAGGATGTAAAATTTCATTTATGTACCATATTGCATGACCGCGCAAATTGTCCGTTAAACTAGCGCAGTGCTGTATAGCAGAAAAATGGCGTAAATTGCAGTATCTATACCATAGTTTGTAGACGCTATAACTTCCACACAAAGCAATCAATATACACTTATTGGGATTTTTTTTTACCAAAAACATGGAGCAGAATACATTTTGGGCCTAAATTTATAACCAACTTTGAGTTTACTATATATTTTTTATAGCTGAAAATAAAAAATATTGTTTTTCTTCAAAATTTTTGGCTTTTTTTGTTTATAGCGTGAAAAATAAAAAGCGCACAGGTGATCAAATTACACCGAAAGAAAGCTCTATTTGTGTGAAAAAAAGGACGTAAATTTTGTTTGGGTGCAGCATTGCATGACCGCGCAATTATCAGTTGAATTAGTGCAGCGCCGCGCCGAGTAGCAAAAAGAGGCGTGGTCATTAAGAGGGGTAAATCCTCAGGAGGGCAAGTGGTTAAAAAAACGCTTCTAAACGCAAACGCACATAAACGCGGTATGCAAACGCAGCTAACAGACATTTTTTAACCTACGTTTTCCA